TCTGTAGAGCTGCTGATGAAATTCTCTGTCAAGTGATGAAACCCAGTCCCAGCCAGGGGCTCGAAGGGTACAGCAGCCGAGGCAGCTCACTCCTGTATGCAAGTGCTGCTTATTTGAAGGAAATAACAAAATTCTGTTGCTATGAATGTGCTTGAACGATTGAGTCTCCTCTTTCATAAATGTAACCTGGTTTGTTTTGATCAATGTGCGGTGACCATCATGACTGCCAGTCGTGAGACATCAAAGACACAAGAATGAGTTAATGCTACCCACGCTGTAGTCATTGAGGGGTGAACTGGTTCTGTTCCAGAACTCAGCTAGCTGTGTTGCATTAGGCAGAGGCCACGCTAAAGCTGGAGTGACTGATATGAGAGTGGTCCCATGCTCATGTGTCTAAACAACTTCAGATATACAGTGTAAATAAACCTCCCACTACCTTCTGTCTCCAGTCCTGTAGCTTGTACCGTCAAAAGCAGTTTTGGTTTTTGAGTACAAGGACATTTTTCCGGCCCTCCTCGTGGCAAAGAGGCTGATCGATACCCAGAATGAAGCTTGAGGGGTTTGCAACTTTCCTGCTTAAGGAAGAGGCAGCTAGAGCTGTATTCAGCTGTTATTTATTTTTTGCTTAAGTGTCCAGTCATGTTAAGCTTTGTGGCATGTGGAATAACTGTGTATTATAAAATGCCACAGGCAGCCCATATTTCTGTTAGAAATGCAGTTCTTCTATGAGCATATTGCAAAGTAAATATTTCATCATTTTCCTTGTGCATATGAGCCAGAAGTGAAGCAGATCAGTCTGTTTACATTGTTCAAGCAGTGTATATTGCACAAAACAAGTATTCCAAGTGGAGGCTGGTAAAGTTGACTTTTAAGCTCTGTTGTTGAGGAAATGGTTGTGCCCCTGGATAAAGATGTTTTTCTGCAAAGCCCCAAGCCCTCCACTAGTGTGGGTTTCCTTGGGTTGTGTTTTTTTTTTCCTCCCTCTTAGATTGTGATCCCTTTGGAGAAGGGCTCTGCCCACTGAACAGTGCCAAGTATGATAATGCCTTCGTCCTTGTCTGGAAACTGTAAGTGCTACTGCAATAAAATTACACTAATGCATTCATTAAAAAGATATACTCTCATAATAAACCACTTTCCAGAATTGAAAATAGCAGGTTGCATTGGCAGAATACAAGTTGGAATTAGCTCCATTCTCAGACTGGTCATCTCCGTCACAAAATAGGACATGTGCCCACAAATGCATATCCACTGAGTTTCATGTTGGTGTTATACCTTCAGCAGGTATGACTCCATGAATAATAGTATTAGAAGCTGGAATATCTACGTAAGTATTTACACTGCCACACTGAGCCTTCTGGCGAATGACGTCTGATCCCTCAGCTTTGTGTATTTACCTTTCTCATTCACTGGTGTAGTTTTTGAATAAAGAGTGGCAAATTGAGGGGGGGGGAATGCAACCATTCTGGAAGGGTTGCAATTCCTCTGATACCAGGGCTGATGGTTAATCTGCAGAGGGTGTAAAGAAGGCGGTCCCTGGGTACAGCTTGTGCTGTCATTGCTGTTTCTTGTGGTCACCTGGCATAGCCCCTCAGAGCTGAGATAAAGGGCAGGGCAGGTGGTTACTGGTCCATGAGCGAAGCTGCTGCAGTCCCATTACTTGAGTAAGGTGTGTGGGAGGTGCCTCGGGTCCAACTTCTGGGTTGGAGAGAATGCTCCAGAAACCTTGGAAGAATGTTGTCCTCTGTCAAATACGAATTCACCTGGAACACACACTGGCATTGTCCTTTCATACTTTTCTACTTATTTATGCTTCTGGGCCAAAGGGATAAAGAGAATTGTTTTTGCAAGTCTTCAGAGGAGAAACTGAGTGTTTCCTTGTCATGTACTTCAGAATTTAGATAAGGTTTTGTCAGTCAAGCCTGAGCTGAACTAACTCAAACCTGAAAGCAAATTATAGAGTATGCATAAATTCTCTTGGGCCTCCTGGATCTCTTTCGCATGCCTGCTGACTTTTTCCAGCAGTGTCCGATATAAATGAAGTTCCCTACTATTACAGTAGATGAAGAATATATTGCTTTGCAGATTGTCAGCTTTTGAAAAACTAGTTTTTGTTTGCAATAAGCGATTTTCTTCTAGCTGTGTCCAAAGCACACCTTGGTCAGAATCACGAACACACAAATATTTCAGTAGATTGGATTTGATATGTCATAAATGTGTGTCCTATTTTTCTATTACGTATTTGTTTTTCTTCAGCTAGATTTAAGATTCTGTACATTTTACTGGCCTTTGTTCTTTGTTTTAATCGCTGATTATGCAAGGACAGCATAAATTTATATTGATCTTAAAGCTTGTTGCCTTTCATATGACTTTGGAAGCATTTGGAACAATGCCTCTCTGACCTTGAATTTATTTTCTGAACTTCATGCAACATCAGTAGCTTTTATACGATTGGGAAATGGAGAGATACAGCCTCTTTAATTTCCCAGTTTCCTTAAATTATTCTGACGACATTTACTTACGATTAAAATAAAAAAATGTGCAGTAGAGACACGATTCCGTATCCCCACATTGCCTATTGAGTACCAGTCTGGTTGAAGAAAAGCAGATGTGACTAAATTTTGGAGAACTGAAGCTCATAGATCTTTGGCAATCTCCAAGTTATTAAACCAAACCAGGCCTAATTTTACTGCTCTGTGATAATGGTAATATTGCCAGTCCCGTGCAGCTTTTTGGCACCAAGTTAATGCATCCTTTCAGTGAACTCTACAAATAAATGGAGCTGAAGTGGAGGAGGGAGGTAGATCTCTTGTATGTATAAAGTATTGACAAAATGCACTGGGAGAGGCAGAATGCCAGGTGCTACAGAAATGAGAAATGCCACTCTTGTATGTATAACGTATTGACAAAATGCACTGGGAGAGGCAGATGCCAGGTGCTACAGAAATGCAAAGTAATCTGCCTTTGTTAATGAGTTATGTGCCTAGCTCAGTTTTAGTCCCCGGTGGATTATGGGGCTGTCCTAACTCTCATTGGTATAATAAACATGCTAGAAAAAGATTCCCTGGATAGTAAATATGATTGACCGTTTTAGATTCATAAAGGTGTGAACTTCATCTTGCAGAGAGAAGTTCCACTAAGCATTTTTGCACCAAAGTAGGTCAATCTAATTATAATTGGCTTTAATGAGCACTACTCTGCAGTTCTTTACCTGTAGCTGGTTGGCACTCAGAAGTGCAAATGCCATTGCTGCCTTTGAAAAAAGCAATGAGAAATCAAAGAAGTAATTTCTAATCTAATTCATTTCAACTTGAAAGCCTCGGTTATCTACATAAGCAGGGCTAAACAATCCAGCATCAGTAAGAAAAGCCAGAGCAAATGCAGGCAGCAGTGATCAGCAGCTCTGCTGGCCATAGGATAAAGGTGAAATTCTGCTTTCGGTCTCACAACAGTTGCCTTGCAAACTGTCCAGAGCTTCGCTTTGGTGTGGAGGAGTTAATTCTATTAAAGCCAGTAGAAGTTATACCAGTTTGGAGTGACATTCGAGTAAAGCAGCAGTGAAGAGAGAGGAAAATGCTAAGGAGAATTTATTTGGGTTGTTCTCAAAACATATTTATGTACCTGTTTCCCCAGAGAGAAGAAAACCTCATATATCCAGAAATTGTATATCATGGCAGTTGATCTTTATCTTTGGGATGGAGTGTTCACAGGTACTGCTTTGGGGAAGGAAAGTGGATTTGAGGGAGGTGTTAAGTATTTAGCTGGTGGGTGCAGGACTAGGCTTTTGTTCTCAGAAGATGTAGCTCTACAGCAGCTCCTTAGTAAATGTCTTCCAATCAGTATTCCTATGTGTTGAGCCTGCATGAGAAGCTGAAACCTTTCAGAACTGGGTGAGAGAAAACGAAGCAGCCTGAGAAGACTGGGTCTAGCCAATGATTTCTTTCCTATGTACCCCCATCAGGTCTAATAGGGGTATGTAGTGTTACTGGTGATGGCAGCTCTTGGCTCTGGGCCAGAGTCTGTATTGCTTTGCAGTGGTACAGTTGCCAGTTTGGGGTACACAGACCTGAGACCGAGTGGGAACATGCCTTTTCCTTACGGCAGCCTGCATAGAAAGGCCATGTATAAAACTCATCAGCTCTTCTCCCTTCTAGGGGGTAGTTTCAGGCTAGTGAGCAATGTTTACCTGAAAGAATGTGGATGGGGAAAAAAGAACTGCTATTCTAAGAAGTTGCAAAGATTTGGGGTTTTTCTTTGTTTTTTATTCCAAATAACTATTCAAGAATGGGTTTGTTAGTTGAAGTATTTGAACTGTGTCCTGCTCTTTCTGGAGTTGGGACAACTTTAATTGCTGATCTTTTGCCATTCAGTTTTCATGCAGTCTTGTCCAGACGGACTACTCATTTGGTGACTCAGTTCCTCATTATGCATTATGTCCATTACAGTTTTTGGCCTTTCAAGGTGAGGGGTGGTCTGTCTCTTTGTCTGCATAGTTGAGCCCTGATTTTCTCTCTTATTCAAGTGTAACTAAGGGTAAAAGAGACGGTCAGCTTTGGCAATGTCATTCTGATTTGTTGTGGCCCCTGAACCCCTCATGCTCGAGGTACCCAGCACAGCAAGGCACACTTGAAACATGTTAAATCCCTAAATGCACAGTGTATAATGAAGAGTATATTGGACTTTGTCGTGGGTTGTGAAAGGATGTCTGAGTAAGCATCTGTTTCCCAGTTACAGTCAGCAGCTGCTGTAATCCAGCTGTTATTAGCCCATTATGTTAACAGCTAGAGGGAGCAGTGCCCAAGAGATGGGTATCTGGGGTCCAGGTTCCTGCAGGGAGGACAAAGATGCATCTTTAGATTTTACATTTATCTGTTCCCTGGGACCATGAACTGTAAAAGAAATTTAGTGGAAAGAATTCTGTATGATTTGTTTTGATGGTGAAGATATTAAATGTGTATCCTACACCATTTGACTTGTTCTTTTGTCTTTTGTCTTGCCAGCCCAGAACTGCAGTCACGTTTTGCAGGGTCCAAATGGGACAATACAGAGTCCAGGCTTTCCCTATGGATATCCAAATTATGCAAACTGCACGTGGACAATCACTGCTGAGGAGCAGAACAGGATACAGCTTGTTTTCCAGTCCTTTGCATTAGAGGAAGATTTTGACGTGTTATCTATCTACGATGGACTGCCTCAGCAGGGGAATCTGAGAACAAGGTACATTGTTCATAACAGTGATGTTTATAAACATGTTCCCATTTCTGCCACTGGGATTAAATCTAGGTTGGAGGTTTATGCTGCAATAAACTGGAGTACTTCATGAGCAGTTCATATAGTTGTTTTGATTTCTTATCTCTGATAAGATTTGAAATGTTACTCTGAATGCCTGACAGTAATGATTTATCAAGAGTCATTCTAGACATCTGGAGAAGTTAATTAGAAAATAGAGCAAGAGGAAAGCAGATCTAATGTGCAGAGGAGCTTCCCTCAATCCAAAAGAGATTCTCTGAGTGGGAGGATGGATAATGGGTTTCAGTTTATAGCTCTGCTAAACGCTTTGTGGGTGCATTTGGGCGATTCCCTACCTTGCAGTCTTGTTCACCAGCTGGACAGGGGTGATATTCTCTCATGTCTGACTAAACTGTTGGATCTTTAGGGGTAAGGAGTTATCAAGTAATATAGTTTAGTATGAAGACTCTCCATGGATTCTTATCTCAGACTTTCAGGTACCATCCTGGTATTAATAAAAAGTTAAATGAGAGGCTGACTTGGGGGGGGGAGGGGGGAAGTATTGCTGTGGTAGCGAATGTTATATGACATGTCAGACTTCTGCGTTTGAAGGAGTCATGATCTCAGACCTCCAGATCTGAGGCATAGATGAAATCAGCTCGGTGACTTGTGACATGATTGTTGTTGTCTGATGTGGTGTCTGGTTGTAGCTGAAGTCTGACAGTAATATATTCAAAAAGTAATAGAAACAGTGGCAGCATCCAGTGTTAGAATCCCTAGTAAGAATGTTGTAGTCATGGACAGTCCTGGAAATTAATTTTACTTCGAACCACTTCAGTTTAGGACAGATCCATTGACCTCAGCGTCTTGTCTAACCCAACTGGAAAATCTGAGTTAAAGAAACACTGGTGAAAATCAGCTCTTTATGTAGATGATTTCAGTTATGCAAATAAATCATATCTTCATCTTGTGCTTAAGAATCATCTTAATTATGGGACCTCATCATTTAATCAGAAGGTAGCATAGTGTTTTGCTTTGGGTATTACGTAAAGGATGCCTACATCTGGTATAAAATCCTGCTCAGGAAACTTTGTATTGTGACTAGTCAATGCTGCTCTTGCCCTGAGAAGCCCCCTGGCAAACTGCTCTGCTCATCAGCAGTGTCAGATGTTTCCTTTTGCCCTCTAGATGTCGGTGGGAGGTTCTGCTAAAAAAGCAAAATCCATGAATGAAATTAATTCAGAAGTAGGGTCATGGTGGAGTAAATTAGTAAGACACTGTAGATGAGTTGCATCCAGGTATTGCTCTGAGCTACTCATAAGCATGATATGATTATAGATGGAAGTAACAGGAAGGGCATGTTCTTACAGTTGACCAGTACAACAAAACAGATACAGCTTGGATACTGTCCTGATAATTTGTAGCCCTGCATTGGGGGAAGGTGAGGAGACAAATAAGGTCCCTCCTCTGCATCACTGGTGAACTTCATGTGTAACTTGGGTAGGTAAGTGTAAGTTGTGGGATGAAACCAGGAGCACAAAGCAATGTGAGAATGTTTCATCTCTAATGAGGAGATAAGGTGTTCAGGAAATGGTGTGTATTTAGTACAATGGAGGAGAGTGAAATAAAGGGGGGTGGAGGTATTGAGGAGGCTTTCTAGAGGTCTGAAAGCACTTACAGAGGACTTAAAGTGAGATATGGACTCTTGCATGATGGACACTTGCATTCTTCCCCTGGACATTTCTAGATTAGTGACTTCAAAACCTGGAACTTGTTCCTCTGTGCTGTTTGGTGTCTCACTTCTTTGTTCAGCTAATATTTTTTTTGTACATCAATCTCACCTCATTGAACTCTGTAGCTGTTGCCCAACTTCTTTTTTCTTTCTTTCTCCCTTTTTTCCAGTGGCTATCAATTTTGTTTTTTCTTAAGACTGCTTTCCAAATGTACTCAATTCATCATCGAAGTGCAGCACTTGAAGATGGATGACCATGCGTCATTCATCAAAGCTCATGCTACCAGGAGGCAGGACAAAATAAGCTGTAAGCAAGTGTAAGAGAAGGAAAAAAAGCATTCTTCTCTATAGAAGGTAACTGTTTTGTTCAGTGTGTTCAAGGCTGATCAACAAAACGGTTAACAGAGGGGAACTGTATCTCTTTGCTTCTCCTGCTCTTGAGCTTATATTGTTGAGCATCACTGATGTATTTCAGTAGGTCATGCCTGCTTGATTGGGAGAAGAGAATGATCTTGGTGTTGATGATGTTTTCTTCTGCTGAGGGATGGAGAACAGTTAGTTGTGCCAATACCCTGCTGTTCCATTTAAGCCATATATTCCCAAGAGGTTCCTTGGCCTGCTGTGTCAGTGTCATGTCTATGTGCATTTCTGAGAAGGGGTTAGTAATTGTGTTCATCGTGTGCTGGCAAACACCCTGTTGTCTTGCAATTTAATGTGGTGTGAAAGTTCCCTAATAGAATAAGAGCAGACTTAATCCAATGAGACATTTGCTAATAAACTGCTTTACTGTATATTAGGGAATTTGTGTCGTGCATTTGTGACGAGTATGTGAATATTAAATGCGTTTCAGTGTCTTAATTTAGACATCCAGGGCTGTTGTCATCTTTCAGTGCCATGACTTTGCTTTGTTTGCTAAAATCGGAGCTTGTTTCCGAGTCCTTGCTCCTTCAGCTTCTCTCAAATAATTTGTTTTTTCCCAACATCATACAGTGGCTTTCAGCAGGCACCACTGTAATGGAATCTTCTTTGAAACCTGAGAACAGTGGTGGCTGTAGATTTGTCTCTCCCTTGACTTGAGTAGGAGAGCTACTCACGAGCTCAGATGAGACTTGTACTTCCTTTCGGTGCCTAAAGGTGACTTTTCCTTCTCTTAAGCAGTGTTTGTGCTCATTGCACCAGACCAAACTCTCCTTCAAGTTCCTAACTATTCTGAACTGCCAGTGGGATCAGAGGGATGCATGTGGAGACCTGATCTAAAAAATGCAGTTACTCAAGAATAGTCTCTCTGCAAATTCCCATTGTGCTTTGCTGATTGTGTCATTGTTAAGAGAATGTTCCAATCAGGTTAGTTTCCTGATTGGTTTCCCACTGTGCTGGGCTTAGAAGCTCAGCAGACACCTGACTAAAATTTGAATATTTGGAGTTATTTATGGATCTAAGATTGCTACGGGATTTGGGAGACTCCTTGCACCTTCTTGTGTCAGACTGTTATTATGTGACATAACCAGCCAGTAGTTAACAAGAAAGCCATGTGACATCTTCAAACTTTTTCATCTGCTGCTGATAATTTGCAGGACGCTTTTAATGTGAGAATCTTAAATTAGTTGCTAATTTCCTTATTTGAAGTTTCAGGCTTGCAATCAGATCCAGGGAAAATATATTTACAATATATCTGGTAAGTCAGTCATTTCAGATACCTAATTCTGTTTTCTTGAAGGGAGCCATTGAATTTACACTCAAAATAGGACTGGTGAATTTAGAAAATCAAATTTGTTTTTTTCCTTCCAAAGATGTTTAAAAGTACTTTGGAAAGCCCAAGGGACAGAAGATGCAGTATTTATTACCAGGAGGGACTGCTCACTTGCATACGTGCTGAACAATGCTGGGGTAACTTTTTATGATCTTACAACCTGTGAGCTTTCCTTCCCATGTGATGCGGGTAGGTAATTGCATTGTCTTCTGGTCTACCTTTCCTGTTCAAAGGAAGTGTTTCTATGATACTGAATTTATTTGGCTAAGAAAATGTTTGTTTGAGCCAATGTATCAAGAAAAATAAGTCTTTATTATAGCCAGAACCTCAGTAGTGCAGTTTGCATTTCCACAGAGCTTACTAGGAGGTGTATATTTACACAGCTGTGAGGAACTGTCCCATTCTGATGTCTACAGAGTGTGTATGGTTAGAGAAAATGTTTGCAAATCATTACTGCAATAGCTTCATACTTAAAGCAAAGAAGAAATCTATACTGCCTTTAGCTCCCTGGCACTGTGAATAACTTATCTTCTAGCTCATGTCTCAACATTATGCAGTGTCTTCTGTTAAAGTTGCTGTTGCTTATTAGAGATGCTCATCCTTCCTCCCTGACAAATAACTGAAGAGTTAAGAGGAGGATTGCCATCGGTATGCTGTGTATGCAGTTGAGAACCATATGATCTCTCTGGCCATATTTAATTGACGGAAAGATTAAGTATTTTGTTTGAACTTAAAATTATGTGATACTAGTGATTAAGAGTTGAATTATCTACTGGGGTGACCTATTTGCAGATACAACAGGAATACCTGTATCTTGCCTGTTTCTCCTTGATAACCTTTTAATTACTCTTTGAAAAATTGGACTGGGTGACTTGTACTTAATTACCAATCAAGAGAACAAAGCTTTTCATCTTAAACAATGGAAGGGAGGAGGAGACAAAGGGAACAGGCAAGGAGAGAATTCCCCCCATGTGCCATATGCTCTCACTTGCAGAGATGCAAACCTGGGTTAAAATAACATTCTGGGGTTCTGGCTTCACAGGTACTGGATTTTCTGGAGTTCAATGCTGTTAAAGAAATTCCTGGAGAAACAGCGTTTGCCATCTGGTAATACGCAGAACTTATATTAGGATTTTGTGTGGAGTCACCTTTGGTCCTGTGACGTATTCCTTTGTAGCTACCTCGTATCTCCAAGGTGACTACGGTTCTTTTTACTAAGGATAAAGATAAATAAAATGGAGGGTCAGCTAAATCCTCTTGTCATCTTTAGTGAACTTCAGAATCCTACCTCCCTTTTCTCCTTAGAGTCTTTTGTTGCTTCACATTAACTCCATGGGGAAAAAAAAAACCCACAACAAAAACCCACTTAAATTTGTTTTCTGCTTTGTAGAATAAAATACGCTTTTTGTTTCCCCTGAGAAGGTATTTGTTTGAGCTGCTCCAGCGACATTAGGGCCTTTTGCCAATGGCCCTGTTTTGTTCTGAGGAAGCGCTGAATATTTAAAC